ATTCGATATCGAATATTCGAGTCCGGAACTATGCAGAGTCGTTGTGTCTTCTCTCAACAATTCGTTTATCAATAGACTTTTACAATCGTTTTTCCGCTAAATACGTAATTGGTTCGATAAATATTTTGTATTTCTAAAGCTACTTGTGATAGGAAACTGCGGTAGGCTCAGTTATTTCTTTATTTATTTATTTTGGTTTACATACCCAACACTGCACATAATGCGTTAATACTAGCACTTGTTACTTCGATTCGTTTCTTCTCATATTCCACAATACTCCTCTGATTTGGGTGTGAGTTCATCAGCTGCTTGAAAATTTCTCGTCCTATTTATAAATGTCATTGAATGTTCCAGTCAGTTCTGTGTATAATCCTTGTTCAACTGTACTTGCGCGTCCTGGATCTTCATTATTGGTAGACGCCTTTTTATATGGATTGGCTGGAGTGAGCTGAAGCTAGACAAGTTTGGTTCCAATTTCCTGATTCTGCCGGAATAGGGAGCTTGATTGATCCAGGACAGGATCAAACTAGTCTCCAGAAGGCTCAGTTAAATGCTGGAAGCTCTGAAGCTTTTTTTTTTCATTTTATGAAGAATAGCTCTCGACGTTGACGACGTTGACCGACGTTCGCTGACGGATGTGCCATGCATTCAACTTCATGAAGGATCTCTTCCTTATCCTTTAATTGAATGCATACATATCTGGCCTAACCAATGACTCGCGGTTGCCTGCCGTTGTATCAAGTCAGTGCTGCTATGCCCCCAGACAATCTGGTCTTGTATTTTCCGACCACAGAGTAATGAAAGGCTTGGTGAGGCTGGGGCACGGGATTGAACCCATGTGTATTGCAAAGCACCTCTAGCTATATGCTCCTCTTGAAGGATCAGTATGTAAACTGTAAGGAATAGAACGAACCACATCTCTGTTAAATGAAAAGCAACAAAACTCTGTACTTAGCTTCACCGGTAGTTACTCTATTCTTAAGTCACTAAAAATTGTACAGATACAGAAATGTCCGTTTTCAAGTGAAAGCTTAACAAATTACATTAGGTCAGCTGAAAACCTTAGTCTCTTAAGGACTTTTCTGATCGAAAACCGTCGATTCTGAACACTAGTTATGGTATTTGAATTGTTGAATTTACACGGGGTTGATAAACAGATTTATTTTGGCTAATGTTTCGACGTTCTCGTCTTCGTCAGAGCCGATGATCCTTGCGGGTTCTCCACAGTTGTTCGTTATCTCGATGTGGCGTCTTCACTGCCGTACCGAGACGCGATCTTCTTCAGTGAGCACCGCACGAATGAGTCATTACTAGTCACGGTGATGTGGAAAACGAACTTACTTCCAGAATAAATATTAATGAGGTTTTTCGCTATTTTTGTCGAAAATCTGCTTGTTTTTCGGTGTCGTCGTTCGTCAGGTCAGATCCCTTGCTTTGTTTTCTGATGACTGCTCTCCTCGCGTGCTGTTTTCTCTCTCTCCTTCTCTTTCATCGCTCTCAAGAACTTTGGGAGCAAAAAGTCCACGCTGTTCGACTATTAATCTCTTCCGATTATTTGTAAGTTAAAAAAAATCAGTTTGTCGTTTCCATTTTTCGGGAAGGATTTCGGGAAATTCTATATTTGGATTCCATCAGCTGATAGGTAAGTAGTGAAAAGCCCACGTAGAGTAACGTTCAAGCCATCGTCAATGACAATTCCTTACTAGCCTCACGTTTCCTTAAATTGCTAAAGTTTGAGGTGGAAAACTGGTTTTGAGTAAAGCAAATAAATAACGTTTTTGGGTCTTATAGTTGCGAATATTCCGGATGTTTTCCTGACTACGTTGAATAGCGTCTAATCGTACCAGTTGTCTCTCAGTAGTTAGTTTAACTAACAAGAATATTCTGATTGCTGATGGTCGAATTTCGTTCTCATTCATCCGCCTATTTTTCATAACGCTACGATGGAGTTGCCGACGTGCATAATCTTCCGTCCGAATGCGCCGCTCCTCATCAACGCCAGTGTCATGCCGCGTGGGCGTCTCAGTCGGCGGAAGTGTCGCCTAGTGTTCATTCATGGCATCTCTTGCCGGGATTTTTCGTAACGATCCGACGTCATCATTCCGGGTGAAGCGCCTCACTCATTTTCCATTAGCTCGGTTATTTTAGAGCTCCTATTTAGACTCCAGAAACGATCTCGTTCTCCACACGCTATCGTTTCCGAGTCTTCCAAGCAAAGTAATCGAAATCTATTTCAGAAGAGTTCTCTCCAGTTTTTAGTTTTAAATATCCTTCGAAAATTTTAACACTGTTTTTCTTCAACGAACAAACAGGAGATTAGTATTATAGCATTTATTAGCACACAATAGCTGACGTTTCGGCGCTTTCGCCTTCTTCAGAGCCTGGAAAAGTCAAATTGACATGCAGCCTACTCAGCCAAACATTTTCATAACCTAGCAGGTAAGACTTAACACATAAATCTGCATTCGCATAAGAAGCAGCCTCATTTAAACACCTACCGTTTATTTGTTGTAAGTACTCAAGTTAGTTGGTGGGTAGCAGCTGCACAGAGTAATACATGGGCGAGGACTGTGCCTGTGTCAGGTTATTGGATTAGCCTGAAGTATGGCGCGAGGTCACTCTTGTTCACAAGACATTCCTTTCAGTTGAATTTTAAATTTTTGGAATTAATCCAAAACGCTTCGAGAGTTTTAGGCGCTGATGTTTTGGATTCCTGTGCGAGGATAGTGACTTTTCCTTCAGAATCTTCCCAGTTATGTTTCTGTGTTCTATGCGCGCCTAGTGAAGTTTTTGGTTTCAATTTAAATTAACCGGCTACTTGTTCTTTTAAACGCAGAGTGCTCTACCCGTTTTGCCAACATATTCGTACCCACATGCTTTACAAGAGATCAGGTACACCGTACCCGAACTCACGCAATCACCGTCTCTACCGTTGGGGCATACTATGGAATTTTTCATTGTACACAAACGGTCATATAGGCGCTTACGAACCAGTTGGCGTCTTAAAGCGTCCGATGTTATTTCAATTATTGTTGCCGAATTCTCTAGACCGGCCCTTCTTTTCATTATGCGAATGCGAATTTATGTGTTAAATCTTCTCTACTAAGGTTGTGGTAGTGTTTGGCTGGGTAGATTGGATATCGATTTGACCATTCCAGGCTCTGAAGAAGGCGAAACGGCCGAAGCATCGGCTACTGCGTGCTGATAAATAAATACCAACCTCATGTTTACTCACTGAAAGAAACTGACTTATCGATCAATGCCGAGTTAATAGAAAGTCGGTTTTGGGAATTTTAGCACTTGTCGGCTTATAAGTGTGAAAAATAAGATTCTCGATCGTTACTGCTTTCAGAAGCCTTTGGACTTTACCAATACACAGAGATCTATAGATATTTTAATAATTGTCATAGAATTATGGCGTTCTTTGGCTATTTTTCCATCTCATTCATGCTTAGTCATTTTGTTTCGGAGCGTTTCCCATAGAAAGGGTTCGCCAACCGGCTCAAAAACCACTCGGCATCGTGAATACGAAACCATCCGCGGCTGGACGTGCCGCCGAATGGAAATTTGTACGGTTCTTTTTTGGGAGAACTGGTTCTCTCGGGAACATTTTCCTTGTTTTTTTTTTTGCGTAACACTGACACAACTCTGTGTGAGCTGCGGTTGCTCGTCACTCCATTCTCCACCGAGATTCCTTCACTTCAAGGCTTGACTATTTGCGGGCGATGAAGAGGGACTTCACTTGTTCTTAATTAAAATGACATCGGGTGCACTAATATTTAGGTTGAATTTAAGAAGCATGATGTAACAGATATTTGTCACGAAGAGCAGAAAAAACCACTACTAGAGAGGTTGAATTAATAAGGGACAAGAGATATATGTTCAGTTAGGATGCTTTCTCAAATAGTTGGATGATCCGTCCTCAAATTTTTTAGCTCCCAGTGCTTCTTCAATTCGTCACGTTGTCGTTAAACGTCGCCCGTATAGATGGTTCGCTTCGGGTTTTAATTCGGGTTTTTAAAGCTTAAAGTTAAGTTTGTTTAAGGTGCTTTGGACTTCCTTGTTATTTTGTCGTTATTCGCAGTGTCGCTCGATAGTGATTTCCGCTAAAATCTCGGGATAGCTTTGCTAGAACGTTTCTAGGTTCTCACCGTGGACATTCGCCAAATCTTGTGAATCAGAAGGAGGTTTGATGTCTTGAGAAGTAGACTCCCTAGTCGACAATGATGTAACAATTTAATTTTTTTTAGTTTTAATTTGGACGGCTTGAGACTTAAATAGCAACCATAGAGAGAGTTTCAAAACCTTAAATATTGGCAATAAGAATGTATTATTCAAGGAGTATTTCCTTCACTTAGAAATCTTATGCACAGCAGAGGTTTATTCCAGCCAAAGTTGATAGGTATTTCAAAAGTTTTTGCTGTAAACTCACTAAGAGTGAATCGATGTAACGTCAGAAATTGTGAGCTATTCCTGGCGCCGTGTGGGCAACATTTTGCTTAGGTTTTTCTGGTATGTACTATTACTGTCAGAGAGGCAAAATTAAACGATACTTTTTCTCAACTGGCAGCGACGTAGCAAACAAGTCATTCAACTCAACGAGTGCTCGACTGACTTAAAGTTTTACGCGGTCACTTTTAGTCGTTCTCATTATCAGCTAAGTGGAAAAAAACCCAACTGTACTGTTCTTTCCAACTCTTTGCTTTCATGGATTTTCTACTGCTCTTCGACTAAAGCAGTAATTACCACGCTAAATTTGGTTTCTTCATTCTCATTTATTCTATACGCTTTAGAACGTAAGTTCCAGAGTCGGTGTATTTATTCGCGGTTGCTCTTCTTATGCACAAAACACTAACGCAGAACTCTTTTTACTCTTTTTACTCTTTACTCTTACTCTTTAATTACTCTCTGCAATTATTTCGAATCGATCTCTGTGTAATTAGTGCTATTAAATGAGGGATTTCCATGAACAAAAACTTCGCGCCATTTCGGTGATGGTGATGAGGAGGAAATCCGTGCAGTATGGTGACCTCGATCTGAACAAGATGATCAGTACCCTGATACAGGTACACTTCAAAAGTCTGCTCAAAAAGAAAAAAAGACGAAACCTCAGTGTTACATTTAATAAATCGGGTGATTTTATCTATAATTGCTTGTTATTCGGCATTTCACTGAAATATGTGAGCGATATTTCTTTCTGAAGATGCTGTTTTCCATCAAGAATAACGTAGTGCTTTGTATGGTATAGAGAATGAAGCAAGCTCTGTTTGTGAATGTATAGCATACAATTCATATCCTCATTATGATCCCTGCTGAACATCTGCAGGTGAAGCCGTGGCAGAAGAGTATTGACGTGAACGAGAGTGAGATCCGTATGATATGCGCTCTTGCTCGACAGATTTTCATTCATCAACCGATGCTTCTGGAACTGGAACCACCGTTAAAAATCGCAGGTGAGTCTATGTAAGACCACAGCTTCAACAACATTCATTATGTTAATCATCACTGAACGAACACAAGACATAGCAAGCAAGTTGGTCAGGTCTAATGGTTTTAAAGTTTTCTGGAAAATAGTTTTTTTTTCCATTTCTTTATCTTCTTCTTCTTTACTCTAACAAAGTTGAATGAAAACTAACAAGACGTCGTTCAAGCAGAACAAGTGAAATTGAATCACCTGTTTTAAAAATTCTCTTTGTGATGTTCACACGACACTACTCATGTCAAAAATCGACTGACTTATTTACAATTATCTAAAAGTCCCTCTACAAATCCAGCATATAGTTGCCAACAGATCGTTGACTGGACACTGGCACTACCAAAGGACAGTACGCGCATGAGACTTTCTTCTGGGTTTTCTTTGTTTTTAGGGTATCTGTTATTTTGTCCTTTGCCCAGTGAGCTGCTTTTGCTCGGGAATACCGGAATATCCGAGCACATTCGTGTATTCAGCGACGATGACCTCTTGAAAGCACGGAGAACTGCTAAATTTCTAGGGAAAAAACAACACCTTGAGCTCACCTTGTAGACGTTTCCACGTATGAGATGTTCGTATGGAGAATCGTGGTGCTGATCTTTTTTTCAAAAATATTTCTTAAAATAGAAGTAACTTGAAAAGAGTCAGCTTCATGTTAGGAGTAAAATATTGAACATCGAGAAATTGGTAAAGTTTTGAGACCAGAGTATTCATTGAGTTCAAGAGTCTTAAAAATCTCATTTTGTCTTAGAAATACTATCTTAAACAGTATAATCGTATTGCTTTGCTTGTTGGATCCAAACGGAGTTTTCCTGCACTTTTGAAAGTCAGTTTTACTCTCTTTCCTTCCTTTTGTAGCCATTTTTAGAAGCGGTGCATTCTTCGGTGGCATTTTCGCAGGACCCCTATCCATTCGTAGGAAGAGCTCGATGTACCTTTTCGAGTTGAAGTGGTCATTAGCTTTTTTCTGATTTTTAACAGATGTATCCGCAGTAGTACTACATCAAGGCCTCCCTATTTTCTCTTTAATAAAAGTGCTAAAAATAAACATTCGTGGCGTTCTATTTGTCTCCTTGAAACGAAAATATGTTCGAAAACTTCTTGGAAATTAGATGTTGATAGGTTTCGATAGAACAGCTGATTAGAACTCCGATTTAATTACGTATTCGTAATTAACTTACTCAAATAGCCTGGAAACATTTTGAGTGCCTGCTAAGAAATCATTACTTTTCGTGGGGAAATTATTGTGTAAAGTTGCTTGGCTCATTCGTAAGGTTCAAACAAGAATGTCGCTAGTAGAAGGCAGTAAAGTCTACATTTTTCACCTAGCGATATTTCAGGTGACATTCATGGTCAGTACAATGATTTGCTGCGGTTGTTCACTCTAGCCGGTTTTCCTCCCGAATCAAACTATCTCTTCCTAGGCGATTATGTCGACCGCGGCCAGAAAAGCATTGAGGTACGAACGGACACCATCAAATCATTGACCGTGTCGATTTCATTAATCTGTAGTGTTGATGTAAGTTTTTACTTCCTATCATCTATGTTGAACGGGAAATCATAACAGTTCCCAATATTATGTGTCAGGGAAATCAATGCTGATCCAGTCAGTAGCCTGTTGTGATTGTGTCTCTCATGAATCAAAAGAAGTTTTTTTTTACAATATTATCGTGTATTAAGGTATTTCTGATCACCGAAGACCTTAAATCTGTGTTCGTCTCTTTTCCAAGAGTGCACTCATGACTGAGGAGTTTTCGATTTTTTTAATACTTCAGATCAATTCAAAGTCTATTCTGTACGATAATTTTTTGAATAGTTCTAAAGGAAATTCAGCAGCACTATATTTACATTTTTGGAGGCCATTCGATCGTAGTCTTTGTAAGGCTTATTTTGTAACAAAGTCAAATTTACAAATAATTCTACAAAGAAATTTCTCATTGGCCACTTGTGTAAATTAATGCTTTTATCGAGATTAGAAGATACAGGTGGTCTAGGTTATTTTTACACCAGACGTGATAGAAAAATCGTACATATGTGGTTGAAACTTTGAAGTTGAGGTCGGAAATCTTGCGTCAAATACGAGTAGATACTCTGCGTTGGTATTGCTTAGTCTGCTAGAGTTAATGCTTGTCTTACTGTCAACACACCAAAACTCAATACGTCATTACACTCCTTAAAAAATAAAGTACATCCTACTCTTTGTCAAAATTCTTGTAACACTCTCTCTTTTTTCCAGACAATCGTGCTTCTATTATGCTACAAAATCAAATATCCCAACAATTTCTTCCTCTTACGTGGTAATCACGAAGTGACGAATCTGAATCGAATCTACGGATTTTATGACGAATGTGAGTTGTCATTAGGTTCTCATTTATGCATTTAAGATTACAGTAGAGCTGATTCGATAGACATCTACGTGTGTAGCGCAGCGCTTAGCACCAAGCCTTCCATTCATCCGGGATCGGCATGTTGGTACCAGACTTGTCTGGAAGGATAGCAGCATTGACTCGATACATCGGCAGGCCACCGCGAGTCGAGTTATGGGCCAGATATGCATTTAATCACCTCTAACGGCGCTTGTGCGCGTGTAGCGCAGTGGTTGGAGGCGCCCTGCAATACACATGGGATCGATTCCGCCCTCCCTGCTCCACCAAGCCCTCCATCCTTCTGTGGTTAGAGTATTGGTACCAGACTTGTTTGGGAGGATAGCATCACTGGATTGATACATCGGTAGGCCACCGCGAGCCATTGTAAGGGTAAGGTATGCTTTTAACTGCCTCCAAATGATGCTTAATGAAGTCGAATGCAAGGCGCATCCTTGAGGGATTGTTCAACGCTGAGAGCTTCGTCCTTTCTTTTATTAAACGGTCCTTGATAAAGTTGATTGTATCGAGCATCTCTCAGAAGCTGATCGACGCCAAACGCTTTATCCATTATTATTTTATCCATGGGATCATGTTTCATTATTTTTTAATACTTATTTATTGCGGAAAGAGATGTGATGTATTAGAGGTTTCATTTAAGAGTAGAATTAAACCTTCTCCCCATAATGTCAAACGTGCCAGTGAAGTGGTCTTATTTCATACCGCACCCTATTAATATGTCCTGCACTTTCTCAAAATACTTGGCCGTTTTTTAAACAGCAGATGTCTGTGCTGTTCCCATCCCGTGGATTCATTTATAAAGTCACCTGCACAGATGAACAAATGGATAGTGCTGAATGCTGCAGAATCTATGCAGCAAGTGTTGCAATTTGTGGTGATCCGAACTTATGCAAATAAGATATAAAGCTTTTCATCCGGAAAGGTTTCAAATCGTAATAGAAAGAGCTTACGAACTGTACTTTGCTTTAGTTAAGAATATGAGGAATCGTAAAGGAATTGTGCGGTTTCAGTCAACTATAACCTGAACTTCTTCTGCTTTTAAAATATTCGATCCTGTGGTCAAACTCTGTGGGAAAAATGGTCTCACTGTTTTAATTCTTTTTTTTTAAATATTAACTTTTCTTCTCTAATGAACTTCGTCATGTCCTTTGTCAGATTATTGTGTAGCCGTATGCAATTTGAAGTAGGAAGTTATTTCCAATGTAAAATAGCTGAAGAAGAAAGCGGTGGTGTTATTACTAAGTGGAGGGGAAGAGGTAAGCATGTGGAGAAAGACACAGTTCGACAAGTGTTTGTTCGAAAGCTAAGCAAATTTTATTGCTAGTGTGCAATAAATTGCTTTATTGCCGTCAGGTATAGGATTCTCTTCATTTTCATGCATTTCCTATGAATCTGATTAGTAAATGAGTGCATGGACTAATGCTCAGTAAGAAAGAAAACTTGACATTATTGAGACATTCGAGTCTTGTAGCACTGGCGATAGGCAAGAGTGCACATGTGCCCACAACATAAAAGGTACAATCGCAAAGAAGAAAAGAAAGGGACCAACAGAAAAATGCACAGAAAACCAACTATTAGAATCATTTTCAGTGACAATAACAACGACGGGACCAATAATCTCTTCGAACAAACCGAATTCGCGGTCATTTTTCGCCAATTGTACCGTTTTTAGGCAAACGTCGTTACAGTATCAAGTTGTGGAAGACGTTCCAGGACGTGTTCAACTGTATGCCTGTGGCCGCGCTGATCGACAACAAGATCTTTTGTTGTCACGGCGGCCTCTCGCCAACGCTGCGCTCACTGGATCAGTTGAAACGGATATCCCGACCATGTGATGTTCAGGAAACAGGTAATTGTTGTCCATCGTGTGTTATATAGGTTTTTGACTTTTTTAATGGACTTTGATGTAGTATACTGAAGAATATTTGGTAAGAGCTAGTTTTGTTTAGTAAACTGTCATTGTTTCCTCTTTTTCGACTTCTTTTCATACCTTGACTGTAAAATACCTTTTCATAACCACTGAAACTTGAAATCTGCTTTTATTATTAGAAATATATGACTGCTTTTGGCCATCGTTGAATAGCTCGGAAGTTCTATGAGGTAAACTGTTCAGTCGTCAAGTGATTATTTGAATTGTTTTTATTTATTCTTTCAGTTATAGCGGTTTTTTGGTCTTCAGGTCTTCTATGTGACATTCTGTGGTCTGATCCAGACTCATCTGTCGTCGGTTGGGCACCAAACGAGCGAGGCGTGTCATATGTGTTTGGTGTGGACGTGCTAGCGCAATTTCTACAGAAAATGGATCTTGACATTGTAGTCAGAGGCCATCAGGTGGGAATTTTCGTCCTTGTCATTCTCCGCATGACGCCGGTTCCCAGCGACAACGAGACCTTCTCTTTGCCTTTTACTGGCTGTCATCACTATAGAAATGTTGCCTTCCTTTGTTGATGATGAGAAAAGGCGGAAACTCTGGGGTATCCACCAAAAATTATCGAATGGTATTAGGGAATGCCATGTGTTCTACATTACTCAAGGAGTAATCGAGCGATTGCCATCTACAGTCTATATGGGATGCGTTAGCTTAATGGGCATTCCAATCTCGTTCTTGGAGTTCTACACCGCTATAACGGTGCATTCTTCCGTAACAGTTATTAATCAACGAAAGAAGATTAGAACTTTTTTTGCGTTGCACTTTGTGTTTTGACTCGATTTTTGAACTTATCACCGAAACCACTTTCAAAACCACTCGGCAGCTTGATGCTTTTTGGCCATCAGAGTGTTCTTATGTTTTGTGGTATTTGAAGACAGCGCCAATGAGTCGGTGTTCGATTCGCCTCATCTTCCGCGTTGCCATCCACCAACAGCCTGCTTACTCTCGTCTATGAAAATACTTTTCCCAAGGGCTTTTTCGTGGAACAAGGACGTTCGCAAAATTTATTTGGGCAGAGGAGCTATCTTCATGACCAAGGTTGTCTTTTAACCCTAACGCGGCGGCATGACCTGTATAAGAATCATATAATGCGAAGATAATGGCCGCTTCGAACTCTCAATGTGTATCTTTTAATATAAACTTTCAATGAACCAGTGTATCTCAGCTCATCATGAATTTTATCAAATTCAGTGGAGACTTCTGGAATCTTCAGATTTTCTCCTATACCATAACCATACAGGTTCTTTTATTGTTACCAAGCTGAAACTTTGATTTTCCAGAGCCCGTGAAACCTATTTCTTTCATTTCACTGCTTCACGGCTCATGCATCGAATATGAAAACAATTAAACAGACGGGGTTTCCTCTAGTAGGACAAACGACGTTTTCCATTACATTGTTTGTGTTTGCATCTGTCGCTATTGCGTTGAAACCTTAAAACATCAAATTGCGTTTTCAACTTTTTAGAAGTTTCAGTTCGAAGCGCATTTAAAGTTGGAATGGTATCTTGCTTGTGTAATTTTTGTAAATGTTGCAATGGAGAGAGTCTCTTTTATAAATTTATGAGGTTCTGACTCCTGAAATACCCCAGTAGCCGAGAAATTATTGTCAGTTACCGAAAAACCAGCTTGGTTGCAAAAGCGTCAGGAACACAAGTGGGATCTCATGGTTTATATGAATTGTCGTGAAAATAATAATACAACTATAATGACAACGTTGCTGAGATATTTGAAAACTCTGGACCGTAGGTGTCTATGGTGGGGAACGAACACGCTATTGTCCTTTCCGGGGAGTAACGCGTTCACCACCACACCATGCGGGTCCTTCGTTTCGCCTGTCTCTCAGCTATTTCTATCGATCTTTGCCACAGCAATCACCCGTCAGCGGGATTGATCTGGGGCGCCGAAATCGGCATAGAACCCAGTTAAGCTGCGGCTGGAGCGAAATTATAGTAGGCAGAAAATAAAAAGGTATAACATTGTGATTTCAACTACAGCCGCATCTTATCTGGGTTCTATGCCGATTTGGGCGCCCCAGATCAATCCCGCTGACGAGTGATTGCTGTGGCAAAGATCGATAGAAATAGCTGAGAGACAGGCGAAACGAAGGACCTGCATGGTGTGGTGGTGAACGCGTTACTCCCCGGAAAGGACAATAGCGTGTTCGTTCCCCACCATAGACACCTACGGTCCAGAGTTTTGCAAATTTCTCAGCAACGTTGTGGTTGTATTTCGCTTAGTACCCTGCCGCGAAATTATAGTAGGCAGAAAATAAAAGGTATAACAACTATAATGATTCTGCGATATTTGCAAAACTCGGGACCGCAGGTGTCTGCGACAGGGATCGAACTTCGTTATTACCTTTTCTGGGAGCTAACGTGTTCGCCACCACACCATGCGTGTCTTTCGTTTCACATTTCTCTCATGCCGTGTTTTATAGGCGCTATCAGCAATCATTCATCAACTGGATTGATCTAGGGAGCACAAATCGACACTGAACGTAGTTAGACTACTAAAAAATTTATTGTTATATTTAAAATAATTAATTTAATTTAGATTTAAATTTATCGCTGTTATTGGAAAGTGGTTACATTGTGGTTTACACTACAACTTCAGCTTAACTGGATTCAATGACGCTTTATGCTCTCTAGGTCAATCCCGTTGACGAGTGTTTGCTGACAGCGTCTATAAAACACGCATAAGAGAAAGGTGAAAGGAAGGACACGCACGATATGGTAGTGAACACCATAGCCCCCGGAGAGGGTGAGGGGTTCGATCCCAGCCGGTGGTCCGGAGTTTTGCAATTATCTTAGCATCATTGTAATTATATTTCACATTAAACCCTGCCCTGAAAAAGAATAGTACTAAGTGAAAAGTGATTACATGTCGTTGTTTTTCCAAAGCATCTGTTATCTCAAAGTGATCTAGGTGTTTGTGACTTTCAGGTGGTCGAAGACGGCTACGAGTTTTTTGGACGCCGAGGTCTGGTCACTGTGTTCTCAGCTCCGAACTACTGTGGCGAGTTCGACAACGCCGGCGCCGTAATGAACGTCGACGAGAACCTGCTGTGTTCCTTCCAGGTGAGCTATCATCACAAAGCAGACGTCCTCTGCATTCTCGTACCAACCTTCTCTTTTGGTTTTTGATGGCGTCGCTTAATCTCTGAAGCTTCAGAATAGCGCTACACAGAAAGTGAAATTCCGTTAAAATTGCAGAAACGTCGTGGAAATGCCTTGATTGCTTTTCATAATTGAAAGTTTCGCCGGAATGTGGATAAAAATCTTTTTTCGGCTCGTTTCTGTAAGATCCCAACACATACCTTGCCCTTTCTCTCCTGTTAGTCGCCTACTATTTCTTATTTAAATTTATTCAATTTCTTTGCTTAAATTTGTTGCGTTATTAAGTCTTCTTCATATCGTTCTTCATATTTAATCTTCGTATTTGTACATAAAGGGTGGGTGTAGCGCAGTGCTTGGAGATGCTCTGAAATACACATGGGATCGATCCCGGCTCCCCAGACCCACCAAGCCTTCCATCTCTCTGGGGTCGGTAAATTGACACTAGACTTGTCTGGGAGTATAGCAGCACCGGCTTGATACAACGGTAAGCCACCACAAATCATTGTAAAGGTCAGATATGCATTCAATCACCTCCAACGGTGCTTAATGAAGTCGAATGCATGGCGCATCCCTGAGGGATTAATCAACGCCCAGAGCTCTATCCTTCATCCTTATTAGTACCCATAATTTTGACAAAATTTCTTACTAAATAAACTGCTTTCTGGAATTCGAATTACAGCCACCAGAATGAGTATCTCTTAAATTTAATTCTTCCTAAATTATCCACTTACGAATTGTTAGGTTTTTTCCAGTTTCATAAATGAGATTTGATATTGTGAGGAATACAAGCGTTTTCTTGTGTTTTAAAGTAATTCTGTAAGAAACTTCAACTATACCAGCTTACCTTGTGCTTTTTCCGAATGGATCACCGATACTTTGACTGCTTTTCAAACTGTTTTTTGGGAAGCAATATGTTGACCAAAACTTGACAAATCGACTTTGTAAAGTGAATTTTACGGTATTTTCGAGTAAAATGAAGAAGGAAATCAGAAGCGCTTAATTTTTTTCTACTGAGTGAGTCCTGCGCTGAAAGCTGGGTACTATAGATAATTATGCGCCTTCTTCGCGATTGTAGATTGTACTCAAGCATTAATGTAGAACCTTACTAAGCCATCAAAATGCGACACGTTGACGGTGGCAAGTTGCTTGCCCGTATTCGGCATTGAACGCCGCAACATCTCTCGGTGGAAGGAAGGAAATCTGGATAAACTAGAAAAATATCAAAAAGCTTTTGAATCGGTATCTGACTTTAGAGTTGACCTCTCGGCTTTCATTCCGTTCACTTTTTAAATTATTCCAACAACTGAATCCCAGTTTAAACCAAGAAAACCAACTGGCTCCTAATGATGCCATTCGCAGAAGTCGTTGTATTGTGAACATCATAGTTTACGTGCATATTAATGACTTTCGGGTTTTTAGTAAAATTTGGCTAAGCTACTATTTGCTAGCAAAAAATAGCAACTTTTATTGCAGTGTGGTGAAATACTGTTGCCTAAAATTAACACCTGCCTCCTCTTAATTTCGGCCCAGCCGCTTCAATTAGTTTCTATTGAACTCGATTGGTAAAATTTACATCCAGAATCTTACGTTATCACCTATCGTATCTGGAAATCCACAAGTTTTCAAACTGTTCACGATACACCTAAAATACTAGGAGATTCATTAGGTCATTTCTTGGACATTTTCCAGAATAACGATTGTTTGGATGTTTACGGTACCCTTTCTATACGTCGCACTTTTGCTGATCTCATTCAATATCTGTAAATAATTTTAAGCGGTTAACAGAGTTCTTAGATTCTTATTGCAGATTCTGAAACCAAGCAATGACGCAGTGGTAAAAGAGAAGCAGAGCAACTTCGCTAATGGTCTCGCCACATTGGTTAACATTAAACTGGTCGATCAACAAAGCAAACCACAACGTCGATTCCGACGGGGAATGCTGTGAGAACGTGAGCGGTGCTGTTCAGCCACAGCTAGTTGTTTTCTCTCGATTCCCAGGCGTACTGCTGTTTCGAAGGGTTCCTAAACATTTTAATCGATATCGGTTTGTGCAATCATGGGAAGATTCACTTCCACATTGTTCAAGACTAGTAGAGTAGTTTCGATCTGAGCCCATGAAACCCTGACAGCAGGTTTCAGATCTTAGCATCTTGTCAATGGAGAACTCATTCTCAGCAACGATTCTGAATATATGCCTAGGCTTCGGCTGCGAGTTATCCCTTTCGTTTGCACCAACAGACCTGGGCACAAAATATCATATCACTACCAAGAGACATTAATTACAACGTGCGAAACGAATCCTTTTCCATATATTTTTTCGTCCATTGAAGAAGGGAAGGTAAAACCACTCTGACATGGACAGCGGCAGTCGTCTTTAACAACTTTCTACCTTAATAAGCTCTCAGAATTTACAAAAGGGTGGAGTTTTGTAAAATCGTGTGGGATGCGCTACAGTGGCATGACGTTCTAAAAACTGCTCAAATCTGACGGCCATCATCAGGTAGTGTAGGGGTGCATTAGCGTGCAGTATTGGAGCGACTATCATGCGTCCACTAGATAGTGACATTCTTCCATTTTGCTTTACAGTGTGAATAATATAGTACTCAACAAATGTTTCTGATGTTTTTACTTGGTTCGTTTCTGCCGGGTAAACTGCTGCTGTTCGTCGCTTAGTCAATATTGTTTCTGTTCTTGACTTCGATTCTTTTCCCGCAGTGCTGTGGTCCTCTACGTGGTTTGACGAATGCGATTTATAATTTGTATATAAATACGTATGCTTCACATTGTCAATAAATCGTATGAATTGACATTTTTTCTGAAAGCGGAGGACATCGAGCTTGTTGTAGCACGAATGTCCGTCTGTTTGAGCAATTAAATGAGAATTGAGAGGGTCAAACGAAAATTCCTACGCTCCCTATTCTCCTTCGGAGAATAAATTACTAACATGTGAACAAATGCCGATGGCTATATGTGAACGTCATTAGCAGAACTTCACTAATATTATACAAGAAAAAGAGAAATGAATTGCTGCACGTAATCAGGACTACGACTTGATAAATTCCTGGAGGTCTGTGAGAAAGTGTAATAAAGTATGTGAGTAGAATTCGTTCGAAATTATTATTAGTTGCCAAGAGTGCACTCAACAAACTAGGTCCACTCGAAATGATGAGGGGAATGAGCACTCATCAACGTGCACTAGAATAGAACAGAAGGAAAGCACAACCGGGCTGTTTATTCTTTCATTGATAAGCTAACATTAGCTTTATAAGGGAAAACTACTGGCTAACGTTTCGGCGCCTTCGCCTCCTTCAGAGCCGGGTTAATCCAACTGGACTGTCCACAACTGATAGTCCTCGCAGAGTGGGTTCTGGTACTCGTTTCTAGTCTAATCCACTGAAGTACCACTCAAATGAAGCTGCCTCCCTCGGCAGGGCTCTTTTATACAGGACAGTTGTTCGACTACTGACTATCCGTTGATAATTAATTCTTTTCTTACAGGCAATTCATCTTGCCGAAGTCGGTACTATTTTAGCGGGCGCAGAGGACAGTGATATTTTTTTGAAGCAACTTTAATTTAGCCTTTTGAAAAAACCACAACCGTTTGTCACTGTTTGTTCCATTCATAATTTCGGCGTCTCAACAGTTATTCTTCGTCGGGAGGTCTGCTAGATAGTTGTTGGACTTTCGATTTAACACCACAACTGTTGATATATGATCTAGTCCTGCAAAAAATTTAGGCGTTTCCTCGTTGAACAGTGTTTCTGTAGACTTGTTCTCATTAGCCACTTCGCTGTTTCATTCGATCTGAATCTCCTTATACAAATAAATCATCTACCACCATTTTCATTCAAACGAAATGCTGACCATTATTAAAAAGCTGTACATTACTTTTAAAAAAAGGAAAGCCGTATCATATGTTCTGATGAGGCTAGTATAAGGGTCTAGATAACACAACGCAATGGACTTCTGTCATTTTGGACTGAAAACAACTTGAACAGTAACTCAACTTTAGCGAAGCTGAAATTGCCGTCATCTGACATAACTAAAGGCAATAATATTCACATTTTGACGAGCAAAGTTAGTCCAAGATGACAGACAAGTTAATTCATTATAAGAAGTCCAAAGTAGCAAAGAAAAAGTAAATGAGAAAAACAAAGAGAGAGAGAAAACAAAGCGGAGAAACTAGGGGAAGAAATATAGAATGACGATAGTCTTACAAGATCACGTCTTAAAGTATATGGATTTTCTAAAATACTCGCCAAGGGTGGTACAACAATGATTTCACCGGCAAAAATTGCACCAAATTCCATGAATCCATTGACTTTGCCAATACATGCGCCAATGGATTGGTGTTTACTTCCTAGTCATACGTACCGGAAAGCAGTTGGACCTTCCAGCAAGCATATTTCTGGTGATAATTAACTTTATAAAATAAATTAAAGATCATCGCAGTCTAGACATCTTTGCCAACGAAATGCAAAGTTGTTGTTCTGCTATGGCGCTAGTCAAAAAGATTCTTTAACAACATTGTCAAGTTATCAACATGGTAAGTGTTTCTGTTATTAAAAATAATAGGAAGTTATTAAAAAGCCGGTGTCGCACCTTATACAGGACGTACTAAATTAAATTTTAAACCAGTAATTCACCGCTTTTTCTCTTCCAATTGTTTCGATCGGTCGCGATAATCGCGCCGAGTTCTGAGGTAAAAGGTATACCGAGATAGACTCAATTAAAGTCGTAGAACTTCCATGTGCTGACACCAATATGCTTGGTTAGTGACCTGTTTCCTTTTTATATGACCGGTCTTCGCATCTACTGTGCGGATTCCAGGACGTGTCGCATTCGGTTCTTTCCCTCGCATCCATTGTTCACGAAGTTCTTCCAACTTTTACGTGTGGCCTCGGCTACTTCTTGAGGATTTTCATGTCATCTTGAATGTCACAGAATATTAGTCGAGTCGATTTTCGCTGGAATCCTGCGACAGCCGGTCTGGTGCGTTCTCGATTGGACTGCAGAGAGTGATTTTT